TACTACATTGTTGCTCCGGTATGATAGGTTTGGATGAGCTCGGAATGCTTGATTGAATCCTCTATTCCCATAGTTTCCTCCAATATAGTTGACCTCCTCTATGTTCTCTTCAGTGGCATCTCCCATGAAGTCCATAAGAGTGTCTTCATTTGTGGCTAGGGCATCTTCAATGGCGTGAACTCCTTGCCGGCTTTTAAGTAGTTGTGAGACCATGTTCCTTAGCTCCGAGATTTGAGCTGATTCTGATGAGCTCGTGGTCTTCACGCTTCTATTGTAGTCAGGGCATGCATTGGCATCACTAGTGATATACCTCTATTTTACATGCTTTTTATACTATTTTAGTATTGTTTTCTAATGGTTTTTGGCAGGTTTTCTATCTAAAAAGGTAGTTTTACTGTGTTTATAGTGTCTAGAGTCTAAACAGGTGAAATGATGCATTTTGGAGCAAAACCATAGGATTTGCACTTCAAGCCGCTCCATGCACAAGCATCAACTTTAAGAGGGCCCAGAAAAAGATCTACTCAATGGATTTCATCAAGACCAGTTCCCTGCGTGCTCTGAGTGAGTTAACTTTCCAACGCAACTGGAATGGCCTCATTTGGATGAGTAGAAAAGGAGTTATAACCAAAAGAGTGAAGACTGTCCAGACGGCTCTATCGAGAAAGCGCCCAAACCGCGCAGTCCGGCTGGCCGAGAAACGATGTTTCCGCTCGGCCAAAATCATCCGTCCGTCTGAAGTCTCGGCCAAAGTTCAAACCATCCGGCCGAACGCATCACGACCCGGGAAACAAGACCCGCGGTCGGCCAAGCCACGACCACTCACGCCATGCCGCGCACGACCATGCCGCGCGAGCCGGCAAAGCCTCGCGGCCGCGCACCTCCGCGTACCACGGCCGATGGCGCCGTCCGAGCCGGGAAGCAACGTCCCGCGTCCGGAGAATTCATCGGCCAATCTCACATCCGTCCGACCCAGGGCCGAACGATCCGTCCGGCCACGACCGTTCCGACCACGACCACGACCCGATGTCCGGCCGATCGTCCCGACCGACCGTCCGAACGCCGCGGTCGACCCGAAGCCCGTTTTGAAGCCCGTTTCATATTTTCAAGGCCCGGCTTAACCCTAAGCCGCCTCTAAGACCTAGCACTATATATATAGCTTTTTAGCCTCTTGTGAAAGAGAGCCGCCCTTGTATTTCGATTTCCTACTCTAAGTTTTATTGCAATCATGTTTTCTTCATCTCTATGTGTGTTTGCTTTGATCATGTCTGAGTAATCCACTAGTTAGGTTGCTAGGGTTACTAATCAATGAGTTGCTTGCATGATCTTTGATTTCGATGTTAGCTAGGGATTATATAGAGTCTTTGTCTCGTCTTGTGCACTTAACTAATGCTGATTGCTTTACCGCGCATCTAGTAATCCGATCTTAGGTTGATTTGAGCCTCGACAGTGTTGTATCATTCGCCGGACATATTCTTTGACAAGCTAGGTTTCTTAGACTGCGAAAGTTGATCTACTATAATCTAGTGAACTGTATCAGAACCTATTCATTCTAAAGCTTGATTTAATCACCTAGGGACATACCAAAAGTTTAGCGACTAGGTAGATTAACAAAGGAGCCGGAGCCTCGAAAGTGGAATGGTTTTATATTCGTGATCTGTGTTCTAGACGGTTCTTAATATCCCAACATCCCTAATCAATTCATCTATCATTGTTTCATTGATCATTGCTTGCTTCTCTGCGATTAGCCCCTGTTGACCTAGCGCTTCTTCCATTGATTTACAACCTCGTTTACTTGCTAGTTCTTCTAGTTCGTGTTGATCCAAAATCCATAGTTTTGTACTCAACCAGTCCTTGTGTTCGATACCCATACTTCCGCGATCTGTGCACTTGCAGAGGTCTAAGAGTTTGGTAAAACCTGACTCAACATCAAGTTTTTGGCGCCGTTGCCGGGGACTGCAGCAGTACCTTTGAACTCGACTAGGATCTAGTCTAGAATTTTTTTTTTGCTTTTGCTTTTGAATTTTCAGTTTTTGATTTCTTTTCTTTGATTTTTGCTTTTGCTTTTGTTTTTCCCTTTTGATTTAGTTTGTTTCCTAGACTCTTTTCAGGTGCATGACTAGGAGGTCCAACAAGGACAACCTAGTTGAACATCCAGAGATAGACAAGCTCGAGAAGTTAACTTAGGAAGCAAAAAGCCCAAGAGATGGCCGACGAAGCAGCTCGCGCTCACGCCGCTGAAGTGGCGCGCGCTAATGAAGAAGGAAGAGATCCACCTCCTCCTCCTCCTAATCCACAAGATCCTGCTGGAGATGTGAATGTGCAACCTCAAGCAGACATAAACAATCGGAGACTATGACTCTGCCGATGCTTTCTTCACGGATAGAAACCCTATCCATCCACCACTTCCTGCAAGGAATGACTATGAGATCAAGCCTCAGATCATAGCATTGGTTAGACAGAACCAATTCAATGGCCTTCCAGCCGAGCACCCTCTTGATCACATAGAAAACTTTGAAGAAATTTGCAGCACTACTAGATCCAATGGAGTCTCTGCTGACTACTTGAAGTGCAAGCTCTTTTCATTCTCTCTTGGCGACAAAGCTTCAAGATGGTTGAAGTCTCTGCCAGCTCACTCCATCACCACTTGGGATGAGTACAAGGCCGCTTTCATCAACCACTTCTACACCAAGCAAAGATCAGTTTCTGTAAGGAACAAGATCTCCAACTTTCGCCAAGCCAACAATGAATCTTTCTATGAGGCGCTAGACGATTCAAGGAGTACATTAGGGACTGCCCTAATCATGGTTTCAATGAGGGAAACCTATGGAACATCTTCTATCGTGGCATAGACCACAAGTACAAGCTTTCATTGGACACTGCAAGCAATGGAAACTTCATGACCAAGACTGTTGATGAAGCTAAGGTTCTTATTGAGAATCTTGCAGCTAGTGATTGTAACAACTGTCCTGATTATGACCGCTCAAGCCGCACCACTACTAGCTCCCCTGATTCTTTTCAAATGACTGAACTCAAGAACATGATGGCTCAAGTTCTTAAGGGACAGCTCAAGCATATCAATGCAATAGAAGGGATGAGTGATGCTAATGAAGACCCATCAAGAGAATGCATGGGAGATTTCTCTAATGAAGCCAATGAAGAAGATGTGAACTACATTGGAAACTATGGGAACAAGGGATACAATCCAAGCTATCGCCCAAACCCCAACATGTCTTATAGAAACCCCAATGTGGAGAATCCTCAAGACCAAGTGTATCCTCCAAGGTATCCACAACAACAAAGACCTCCTTACCAATCTCAAGGAAGTCAATTTCAGCCAAGGCAAGGATATGAGCAGAGATCATCATATCCGCCCAAGGAGCCATATGCTTCTTCACCAAATCAAGCTCCTCCAAACCAACAAGGTGGAAGATTTGAAGGAATCCTCCAACAGATCATGGATGGCCAGAAGAGAAATAGCAAAGAGATGTATGAGAAGATGGACACTTTGTTCAGCAATCTCAACACCAAGTATGATGCTGTTGCCACTCATGTGAAGAAACTAGAGACTCAAGTCACCCAAACTATGGAAGCTGTTAAGAGACAGGAAGCTGAATCCAAGAAGTCCTTTTGCAACTCAGCCGCCATAGAAGAAAGATTTGAAGATCAAGTTCCAGAATGGATGCTTTCAAAACCTACTGTTGATTGCATGATTTGGCCTGAAGAGTGATGATAGGATTTGTGTGTGGATGTGAAATGATATGAAATGAGATGTGGTGGAATGCAACAGTGGTATATGATGAGGTGGTAAGATGCAAACACAAACACAGTCAACAATTCCCTTTAACCATGATAGTTGTTATAGCATAAAGGGTTATCAATCCAAAATGGGAAACTTGTCACTCTATGAGAATATGAAAAACAAGGAAGTCAAGCAAGCAGTAATAGATTTGGTAACACTAACAACCTAAAAAATGAAATGCAATGCAGTAAAAGTAAAAAAGCAGTAAAGCAACAGCTCGACCAAGGACTCGAGTCGAGTGGAACAGAGTACCGAGCTCGATCGAGTTTAGGGTCGAGTTGAGAAAAAGCAATAAAGGCACGACTTTAACAAGCTAATGAGAATTAGGGTTCAAGACAGGGTTTTGCAATAGGAACTACACTTAAAGCTCTTAAAACTCCTTGTAAAGGCTTCTCTTGATATTGGGCTTCTCAATGCCTAGCCAACCCTTTCCCAAGGTGGAGGCTATCAACCAAGGAATGATCTCAGAAACAGGGGGTTAGCCAGTGAGAATCAAACCTTGGAGGCCATAGGATCATTGCCCAAACTAATCCATCCAACCCCTTAGACCATTTCTAGAGCAAGAGATATTGGAGCTCTTAGTGGATCTTTTCCAGCGATTTCCATCACTTCCATGTGGAGAATCGCCTAAGGACATACAAGCCAGGGGTAGTGGTCATGTAGCCTTAAGATTATCCAAAAGAGAGAGAATCTAGATTAAGACCATAAGCAAGAAGGATTAAGCATATGAAACCTCTAATCTATCCCATCTCAAACCCTAATGGGTAACTACTCACTACACATGAATGTAAACACAAGCAAATGCAATGAAAAGAGACATCATAAGAAAGAGGAGATGAAATAAACAACTTTTATTGAAATAAGCAAGTGCAAATACAAAGAGATTATCCAGGATCTAGGATTCAAGAAGCAAGAGCTTCAAGAACACAAAGATGGGATTAGAGCTCTAAAAAGTAAAAGACAATAAATTAAAAGAAACTAAAACAAAAGTAATCTAAAGCTTGGTGGTTTTTTCGTGGCTTTTAGCCTTTAAATACAAGAGGATTAGGTTTAGGGTCAAAGGAAAGTCAAGGGGGAAGCAACATTTTTCGGGTTTGACTTTGACTTCCAGCTCGATCGAGTTGAAGCTTGGCCGGTCGAGTTGAGGAACTCGACCGGTTGGTCGAGTAGATGGTCGAGCTGGTCTTCAAGATGGCTTCCTCCTTCTTCCTTTGCGTATCCAGTTGAGCTGCGTCCATGCCAAGTCCTTCCATGCTCCTCACGTCCCATATGCTCCAGAATGCTCCAAAAGACCTATTTCAAAGGACCAAACATGCATATGTATGCAAATGCAACCTAAAACTACATGAATGCATAAGAAGAGAAAAGGAACAAGATATGATGCTAATGGATGCTAAAACTATGCAAAAGATGCATAAAAGATGTACTAAAACTATGTAAAATGCAAGTACATCAACACCCCCAAACTTGACCTTTGCTTGCCCTCAAGCAAACAAATAGAACAAGAAAGAGATGAGGTTTGAAAACAAGTTGATTCAACACTTAAAAACATGTCCTCAAAAGCGATTTGCTAAATGTCCAACTTAGAGATTCTAGAATGCAACAAGGTGAGAGATATTCATTAAGATTTAACCATGCTTATCAACATCAATCCCACTTCACAGTCACTCAAACAATGCATTCAAATCAGCAAATCCCTTTAACATTCATTAAGCAAAAACATGCAAGATCAATCAACTCATTTGGTTTCAAGGGTTTATGGGTTAAGAGACAAAGAGGGTCTCTTTTGTATGGTGGTTTAGTAACAGGGATCTCTCAAGAAAGTGGCTTTGCTTTGGCAGAAGGCTAAGTGTTAGAACCAAAGATGATGCAAGAACAGCAGCTCGAGCCGTCTAATCCTAACTCGATCGAGTTCAACACTTAGAGCTTTTTAGAACAAAATCCTAACTACCCTTTTTGGCATTTCGCCTTTGAAACTGAGGAGCTTTGCTCACTTTTCTTTTAAGAACTTCCTAGGGAGAGGCTTCTTGAGGTAACATCTAGCGGTTTGGGATTTTCTAAACACTTAGGGAACTTTTCTTTCCTTTTTGACACTTGAGGCTTTGCCTTCTTTTCTTTCTACTTAGAACCCTTTTTACTTCCTTTTTTAACTTCCCAAACCTTTACTAGACCCTTTTTACACTGCCAACTCCCTGGACTTAACTAAACTCTTTTTCCTTTGGATTTTCCCAACTTTTACCACTTTTCTGGTTTTTACACCCAACTCGATCGAGCTCGAGTTGGCACCCCCAAACTTAGCCTGAAAACAATCCCAAGAGAACTAGACAACTAGAACTACTGCCCCTGCCGGTTTAAACACAACACCTTATGCTAAGCAAAGCCAAGAAAGGTTCTCACATTCGCACAAGAGATAATATGGGGTTTGAAATGAAAAGGCTTAGGTTTAAGGTGTGGTAACTGTCTCAAAGATGGAGATCAGCTATCTGGACAAGCAAGAGGGATATGAAAATGGTAAAGAATGTCCAGATATGTATGTGGTAGCCATGAGTTGAAATCAAATGCAAGCATTGGTAATTAAAGATCAAGTTATGGTTCAAATAGATAGGGAAATGCATCAAATCACAGCAATGGTTGAATGAGATGTGCATGCAGTGATATGATCAAGATAAACATGGTTCTTGCTGCTCAATCAATCTCACCCTAATGCACAAAAGAATCTAAAAACAGGGCACTCAAGAAATCGCAAATGATGAACAAGTTTTCAAATCAAATCAACAATGCAAGTGAAAGATGCAATCCTAAACAATCTAACAAATATGAATGCAAAAAGATGAAAATATTTTTGGATTTTTTGAAAATTTTATGATTTTTTTGGTTTTTCTATGCAAAAGAGAATGAAAAACTAAGAACAAAGAAAACAAGGTTAAATCATCTCTTGAACCCTCCCCCAAACTTAAATCACACAGTCCCTTGTGTGAGAGAAATTTAGTGAAAGATTCAAGAGGGCAAAACCAAGAAAAACAAAACAAAATGCAAGAAAATATGAAATGGTATATACAAGGGTTGGTGTTTGGATACCTCAGTGCCCCCCAAAGAACTGGGAGGCAAGGTCGTGGTCTGGAGAGGGTAGACGGCCATCAGGAGCACTCCACTCGACGGGTTCACCTCACTCGATCGAGCTTGCGGCTCCTCTTCTTCCTCTTCTTCATCGAAGTGTGTGTGGCTCCCTTGGCCTTGGTGGAGCATTGGCTAGCTCGTACTGTCCATAGGGGTTCCATCTACTCCGAGGGTGCCTGGTAAGGCGTTGGATCGTACTCAAATCCAGGATTCTCAAACTGTGGCTCCTCAGGTCAACTCGACCGTCAGCTCGACCGAGTTGAGTTTCCTCTGTTTGGACTCGATCGAGTCCGGTGGTCGAGCTGGAGCGTCTGGCCTTAGAGCTCTTCCTCCTTCTCTGTGAGTTGTCTTCTCCTTCCCTTGGTTCGAATGAAGAGGCTCTGTGAGGCTCTTGGGCAGGAGCCTCCTTGGAGTGGTGAGAAGGATCTACTCCTAAGGAATGTGGAACTCATGGTGCCTTCTTCTTCTTGCTTGAAGAACCAGAAACCTTCTTCTCCAAACTTTTGATCTTGCTCACCATCTTGTCCATGGACTTTTGCATCTTTTCAATGGCCTTCCCTTGCCATTTGTTGAACTTTTGGAGAAGTCCAATCCTCTTGTGGGCAGCCACAACAGAGGGGTTCATCCTTGGAGCCTCATACTCCTCAAAATAATAGCACTCAGGCTCACCCAAATCCGCACTCTCCTGGACTCGATCCTCAGCTTGAGACTCAGCTCGATCCTCAGCTCGATCGAGTTCAGGCTCCTCTTCTCGCAAAACGTTCATGCCCAACCAATGTGTACACAGGGGGTCTGAAGTCAATGTTCTCACCCCTGACTACTGTGGTGAGCTCAGGGTTGGGCAGGAGAAGCTTGGAAGGGCCAGCCAATGGATGTGTGAACTTGAATTGGAACTCCCATCCAACTCCTTGTGCTCAATGAGGAGGTTGGTCTTGCAAAACTTGATGTCCATCCAACCTGGTTCAGTGGCTCTCTTATCAGTTGGGTTCACTCCAGCAGCACACAAGATAGGAGTGATGAGCCCTCCAACACTTAGGCGTCTCCCTTGTTGATATCGAGTGTTGTAGGCTGTGGTCTTGTAGGTGGTGAGGTGATCAAGGAAAGGCATAAAGTTTCCTGTGTTGGCCTTGAGGAGCCTTAGACCTTGAGGAAGAGTATACTCCATCAGCGGTTGTAGCCCAAACCCTCTGGAGTTCTCTTTCCTTGAAGTTCCACTCAATACCTTCTCCATAGTTGAACCCAAATAAGATCTCCAACTGCCTAAAGGTCACCATTCTCTTCTCTCCCTTAGCCAAGAACGTGATCCATCCCAATCCTTGGTCCAAATCAGCTCTATCCTCCTCATCGTACAAGTGGTACCTCATTGAAGCCAAGAACTCACAAGTGAGCTCTTTGTAGGATTCCATGTGATGAGACAAAAACCTTCCCAAGTGCATGTTCTTGAGAACTAGCTCCACATCTTCAAAGATTCCAAGGGCCTTCATTGTGTCAACATGTGGGTACTTGGTCTCCACAAAGTCCATGGAGAAGAGAGCATTGTAGTGCTCTTGGTACATAGGGAGTTCTTCTTCCTCCTCTTGTGGCTCAACCTCCTCCATAGGTTCACCTTGGTTACTCTCTTGCTCACTCTCATCAACCAACTGATTCACCTCTTCTCCTTCCTCTTCACTCTCACACTCATCACTTCCTTCTTCACTTGGATAGCCATTACCCTCCTCTCTCTCACTCAATCTCACTCCCCTTGCTCCTCTCTACTCAATCTCATTCCTCTCTTCTTGGTCCTCCTTTCCTCCCTCAATCTTTCGAGCTCAGACTCTTCCTCAGAGTATACATACTCCTCTGCATCAGACTCTTCCATCCTTTGAGTCATTGCCGCCAAATCGGCTTGCATTTTAAGCCTTCTCTCCCTTGCATTGCTTGATTCACCCTCAACCATTCTCCTCTGTGAAGCGCGACTTCCCTCACTGTTTGTCATCTCTGTTACACTGTTTCTTCACTAAAGTACCTGAAATGCATCAAAGATTACAAAGAATTAGAGTTGCAATGATCGGTTTGGTCAACTCGACACTCAGCTCGATCGAGTCAAAAAACTCGAGTGACAAACTCGATCGAGCTAAGCGAAAACAGAGTATAACCGAACCTAATCCGAATATTAAGAGCTGGAAAGGATGCTTAATAATCAAATTGAACCACGAACAACAAGTTAATGGAACAATAAGCAATTCTAGTGAGACCTTAAGCATCTTAAGCAATACCAAACTCAAATTCAATGTTTCAAGCACATGCAACAAGTTCTAATAGTGAAACAGAGGTGAGGTGAGGCAAATTCACAATGGTATAAACAGGAGAATGATATGAAAGCAATTAATCTACAAGGGGCTGATGTACTTGCATTTTACATAGTTTTAGCACATCTTTTATGCATCTTTTGCATAGTTTTAGCTTCCATTTGTATCATATCTTGTTCCTTTTCTCTTCTTATGCATTCACCTTGTTGCATTTTAGAATCTCTAAGTTGGACATTTAGCAAATCGTTTTTGAGGACATGTTTTTAAGTGTTAAATCAGCTTGTTTTCAAACCTCATCCCTTCTTGTTCTGTTTGTTTGCTTGAGGGTAAGCAAAGTTCAAGTTTGGGGGTGTTGATGTACTTGCATTTTACATAGTTTTAGCACATCTTTTATGCATCTTTTGCATAGTTTTAGCTTCCATTTGTATCATATCTTGTTCCTTTTCTCTTCTTATGCATTCATGTTAGTTTTAGGTTGCATTTGCATACATATGCATGTTTGGCCCTTTGAAGTAGATCTTTTGGAGCATTCTGGAGCATATTGGACATAAGGAGCATGGAGGGACTTGGCGCATGGAAGCAGCTCAACTGGACACGCAAAGGAAGAAGGGAGAAGCCATCTTGAAGACCAGCTCGACCGTCCACTCGACCAACCGGTCGAGTTCCTCAACTCGACCGGCCAAGCTTCAACTCGATCGAGCTGGGGAGTCAAAGTTAAACCCGAAAAATGTTGCTTCCCCCTTGACTTTCCTTTGACCCTAAACCTAAAACCTCTTGTATTTAAAGGCTCTAAGCCACGAAAAAACCAAAAAAAAAAAGCTTTAGATTATCTTTGTTTAGCTTCTCTTTATTTTTATTGTCTTTACCTTTTAGCAACCCTAATCCCATCTCTGTGTTCTTGAAGATCTTGCTTCTTGAATCTTAGATCCTGGATTATCTTTGACAGTGGTCATGTAGCCTTAAGATCTATCCAAAAGAGAGAGAATCTAGATTAAGACCATAAGCTAGAAGATTAAGCATATGAAACCTCTAATCTATCCCATCTCAAACCCCTAATGGGTAACTACTCACTACACATGAATGTAAACACAAGCAAATGCAATAAAAGAGACATCATAAGAAAGAGGAGATGAAATTAAACAACTTTTATTGAAATAAGCAAGTGCAAATACAAGAGAGATTAATCCAGGATCTAAGGATTCAAGAAGCAAGAGCTTCAAGAACACAAAGATGAGATTAGATCTCTAAAAAGTAAAGACAATAAATTAAAAGAAACTAAAACAAAATAATAAAGCTTGGTGGTTTTTTCGTGGCTTAGAGCCTTTAAATACAAGAGGTTTTAGGTTTAGGGTCAAAGGAAAGTCAAGGGGGAAGCAACATTTTTCGGGTTTGACTTTGACTCCCCAGCTCGATCGAGTTGAAGCTTGGCCGGTCGAGTTGAGGAACTCGACCGGTTGGTCGAGTACACGGTCGAGCTGGTCTTCAAGATGGCTTCTCCCTTCTTCCTTTGCGTCTCCAGTTGAGCTGCGTCCATGTGCCAAGTCCCTCCATGCTCCTTATGTCCAATATGCTCCAGAATGCTCCAAAAGACCTATTTCAAAGGGCCAAACATGCATATGTATGCAAATGCAACCTAAAACTAACATGAATGCATAAGAAGAGAAAAGGAACAAGATATGATGCAAATGGAAGCTAAAACTATGCAAAAGATGCATAAAAGATGTGCTAAAACTATGTAAAATGCAAGTACATCAGGGATTCAGGGGGTTTAAGTGTTCATACCTTGCTTGGATGATGGAAGAATCACAGAAGCTAGAACTAAAGCAAACAAGATGATGAACAATGAGAATCGCAAAACTTAAGAGAAAGAGAGGGATTCGATTTTTCTTGTGGTGAAGAGAGAGAGGGATGATTTCAGAAATTTAGGTGTGGGAGAGTGGAGAGGTGGATTCGATCGAGTTATGGGGAAAGGGAGTGTTTGAGATGTGTGGTTGAGATTAAAAGATGAATAAAGGGGACAAAAGCTAGGGTTTTCTGATCGAATTAGGGTAGTGGGGGACCAAAATCAGCTTGTGGGACCCACTCCCTTGACCAAGAAAACGGTTATGAATTTGAAATTCAAAAACTTACCTTGGTCGAGTTGTGGAACTCGATCGAGTTGCCCTGTTTCTAGCTCGATCGAGCTGGCTTCCTTTGTCACCTAAACTTAACTTATTGAAAGGTTAAAACACAAAATAGATAGAAATTGCATAAATAGAATATGTACAAGGATAAACATGGGACTTCCTCCCAAGTGAGCTTGTTTAAGGTCCCATAGCTTGACCTTTACCTTCTTAGGCATTGGTTGAGCTAGTCCCACCATCAAGGGTGATAGTGAGGACTTGAGACAGAAGCTCCTTTAGCTTGGTTGGGTCCCTGGACTGTTCTGAAGTCACCAAGGCTTGGCTCTAGAGAATGGCCTTGATCTCCCCTTGTACCTTATCTTGTACTCAATCTTCCCATTTTCAAACTTGGTGGGGAACAAAGTCATTGTGAGCTGAGATGGCTTGATGAAGGGGCCTGAGCTGGTGGATCCTTTCTTTTATCACCTGGTCTTGCCTTAGAGGCTGCATCCTCCCCTTCTTTTAGAGCCCTTCCTAGTGGCTCATCAAACAAAGCTTGAAGGCTCTCTTCATCAAGCACACAAGGGGCTTGAACAAGTCTATCAGCTCGTGGCCTATCAGAACGTGGTTTCTCAACTCTAGCCCTCTCAAGACGTGGCTTCTCAATCCTTGGTCCTCTCTCATCCTTATCCTTCCCAACTCTTGGTTCTTTGTCAACCCTTTCCTTCACAACCTTTGTAGCTCCATGACTCTTAGAACTGAGAGTGGTACTGTCAATTGTGGCACAAAAGTCTGAACCTCTAGGCTGCAAGCGATATGACACCAAACTATTCACCTTGTGAAGGATCACTTCTTGCTTGTGAAAGTCTATTGAAGCGCCAACTGTACTAAGGAAAGGGGTTCCCAATAACAGAGGTAGATCCTTCTCTTCTTCCATTTCCATCACAGTGAGATCAGTTTGGATGATGCATTCTCCAATTTTCAAGTGATAGTTCTTGAACACTCCAAGAGGAGACTTAGAAGTTGCATCTCCAAACATGATTGAAGTAGTAGGGCGCTGCAAGGCTCCAGCAATGCCTAGCTTCTCTGCCATGGAGAGAGAGATCAGATTGATGCTTGCTCCAGAATCCACTAAGGCATTGTCAATCTCAAGATGCCCAAGTGTGCAAGGGAGAGTGAATTTCCCTTGATCCTTGACCTTTGGTAGGAAAGTGGGTGAAGTAAGCAGGTTGAACTGATGAGTAGACTCTTGTAGGACCTCTGAAACTTTATCACTGTTGGCTAGAACATCCTTGACCATTTGCATTTGATCAAATGCCTCACTCATGCTATCCATAGGAGGCAACTCAATTCCAATCCCACTGAGATCTCTTCTGAACTTGTGAATCACTTCCTTGTGACCTTGACTAAGTAGGCGAGACGAGGAAGCGGCAACCGGTTGGTAAGGATCAAGCAAAAGGCTTTGGACAGAAGAGGTCGGACTCGATCGAGCTAGAGTTGGACTCGATCGAGCTGCCGATCGAGCTTGTTGTGCGAGCTCAACTGGTGAAGTGTGAATGGCCACAGTAGGTGCCTGCACTTCTGGTTGATCAATCTGGACTCCAGGAGCCTCAGCAGCAACAATCTCTTCATCATTCAGCAGTAAACAAAAATCTTCAATGACCCTTTCTTGATCCTCTTCTTCAACAAGTCCTTCTTGAGTGAAGATGACCTTGCACTGTTCCTTGGGGTTCTGAATAGCTTTACCAGGTAGTTGTCCTTGCTTTGTAGCAGCAGCAACAGAAGAAGCATGATTCTCCAGAGAGTAAACCCTTGTGTTGAGGTTCTCGATCTTGAGTTTATTTCAGCTAGCTTCTTGCTTGTGTCCACTACCCCATCAGCTTGCCCTTGAAGTAGTTGCTTTAGCATTGCCTTGAGCTCATTCTCTTGTGAAGGTGCAGGCTGGGGTGGTTGGTGGGGAAGCCTGGTGGGATATTCATTTGTTGTCCAGGGAAAGTGCCTTGTGGTCCTTGGTAATTGTTCTTTTGACCATACCCATGTTGTGGCTTGACTCGATCGAGCTGCTTGTTGTTGAGGATAGACTTGGTCCTGAGGGTTAGCAACATCAGTGTTGCGGTATGACATGGCAGGGTTGGACTTGTAATTATAGTATCCTTTGTTGTAACCTCCTTGCCCATTGCTCATGTAGCACACCTCAGCAAATTGTGTATCCTCCCCTTCTTGGACTGGTTCCATCTCTCAGCAGACACAAAGTTGACTTTCTTCATTGTGGACTGAGCTAAGATCAGCTTATCCAACTTCTCATTCAATGCCTTAACATCTTTTCTCAACTTTTCGTCTGACTCGATCGAGTGGTGGGTCGAGCTCCGATTGGTGCGATCATACTCTTCTCCATAGCTTCCATTTGAGTTAGCTATGTTCTCCACAAGTTGCCAGCCATCATCTACATCCTGGTTGAGGAAGTTCCCATTGCTAGCTGTGTCTAGCATCTCCCTATACCTAGGCAAGCATCCTCTATAAAGAGTGGAGAGTAGTGATTCATTGTTGAATCCATGGTGTGGGCACTGACTTGTGTAGCCTTTGAACCTCTCCCAAGCCTCTGCGAATGTCTCATTGTTTCGCTGGATGAAGCTGGATATCTCTCCTAAGCTTGGCTGTGCGACCGGTGGAGAAAAACTTAGCAAGAAAGGCCTTCTTGCATTCATCCCAAGTGGTGATTGTGCCATGGGGCAAGCTCTTCTCCCATTGGTGAGCTTTGTCAGCTAGAGACATAGGAAAGAGTCTCAGCTTGATGGCATCTTCAGAGACACCATTGATCTTTGTCAAATCACAAAGCCTATCAAACTCATCAAGGTGGTCAATGGGGTCTTCACTTGGCAATCCATGGAACATCTTGTTCTGAACAAGGTTGATCATTCCCAGCTTGATCTCAAAGTTGTGGTTCTGCACTGGTGGTGGAACAATCCCTTGTCTCTGTTGGTGGCGGTTTGGAGCATCTCCTTGACCAATCGGTCGAGTTTGCCTAGCTCGACCGAGTCCATTGCCCAAAGGGTTTCCATTCCCCTCTGGTACATCCATTGTATCAGCAACAAGCACCTCAGGTTCCTCTTGTACCCTCTGTGACCTCTGAACCCTCTTTCTACCCGTTGTAAGTCTAGCTCGACCAAGTCTCTGTAGACCGACTCGATCGAGTTCGCATACACCTGCAAAAAGAGACAAAAACCCAGCAGTACAATAGAACAGGGGTGGTATAGCTTGATCGTCCAAGTGTGTTTGAAACTCAAATGCAACAAAAATATTCCCAAATCGGCAACGGCGCCAAATTGATGATAGGATTTGTGTGTGGATGTGAAATGATATGAAATGAGATGTGGTGGAATGCAACAGTGGTAATATGAGGTGGTAAGATGCAAACACAAACACAGTCAACAATTCCCTTTAACCATCATAGTCATGTATAGCATAAGGGTTATCAATCCAAAATGGGAAATTGTCACTCTATGAGAATATGAAACAACCAGGAAGTCAAGCAAGCAGTAATAGATTTGGTAACACTAACAACCTAAAAAATGAAATGCAATGCAATAAAAGTAAAAAAGCAGTAAGCAACAGCTCGACCAAGGACTCGAGTCGAGTGGAACAGAGTACCGAGCTCGATCGAGTTTAGGGTCGAGTTGAGTAAAAAGCATAAAGGCAGCGACTTTAACAAGCTAAAGAGAATTAGGGTTCAAGACAGGGTTTTGCAACAGGAATCTACACTTAATCATCTAGCTCTTAAAACTCCTTGTATCAAGGCTTCTCTTGATATTGGGCTTCTCAATGCCTAGCCAACCCTTTCCCAAGGTGAGGCTATCAACCAAGGAATGATCTCAGAAACAGGGGGTTAGCCAGTGAGAATCAAACCTTGGAGGCCATAGGATCATTGCCCAAACTAATCCATCCAACCCCTTGAAATTGATGGCGGGTTTAGATTGCCTCAAATTTTCACAATTTATAAACCCAACTAATGAGCTGCAAGTGCACAGCCGTGTTGTAGTCGGGGTCGAACACGAGGAGGAAGTGTTCTCACTTAACACCTTGTGAGATTGGTTTAGCTAGCTCGCAATATGAGATGGTTTTGGACCTAGAATGAGAAAAAACAAAAGAAATGTGAGTGAGGTTGTAAACAATTTAAAACAAGAGTTAGGCAAAGGACAATCATATGGAGCAATGATGAAAAGATAGTTGCATGGGATGTGTGTAGAGCCGTCTTGAACATGAATCACTAGTGTATGGTCTTTCCACTGTCGTGGCTCCAACCACTATGTTTAAAACAACCTAATATACTCAGCTTTCGTTGGCTATTAGAATTGCAAACATGCATTAAAGATGATCAAGATTCAATTGTTCACAATAAACCATAACTCAGCTTTCGTTGGCTATGATCTATTGCTCACCAAATACTAGTTTTGAGATCTAGATTCAGCACTGTCGTGGTTCTATTTCTCTAAGATCAGATTACTAGATGTACGGTAGAGTAATCATGCATTAAGCTCAAGTAAAGGTGAAGATCCATAAGATAAATCCCAATAAGTTGCAACACAATCAAATCATCACGGCCACCATAGATCTCCTCGGCCTAACTAAGAGATCTACTCGGCCATGATGCAAACAAGCAAGCAAAGCATGATTGTAAACATTATGCAAGTATTAAAAGAGATAAAGGGATGAAGAAAGCTTCTCTATTGATGAACAAAGTCGGATTCTCCCTTGAAAACTCTTAAAATCAAGTTTATAGAAATGGAAACAATGAAAAAGAAAGAACAAGAGTTGAGCGGCGCCTCCTTCTTCTTGGACGATCTCCTAGGGCTTCTCTCCTCTGAACTCTCTTCTCACACGTACACTCTTTGATAATTTTCGGACTCGACTCTCTTCTTCAGCGGCTAAAAACATGTATATATGGGCGAAGTCGCGTAGGGTTTTCTTCATGCCGGAAAAGGAAAGTTTCCCGTGAGCAAAGCCTTCTTCTCCACGTCGTGTATGGGCCGACATTGTACCAAGGAAAGCTCCAAACATTAGCCAGGCCTCTTCTCTATTCGATCAAGGCCTTTGGCGCTGCTGCTCGGGCCATTAGACACTCCAAATCCTCCATGGGCTTCGTTTGCTCGCTTACCGGACATGTCTCGGTAGAAAATAAGTCTAGGCCTCATAGTTGATCCAAATGGCTTCATTCCACTTCGACGTGATGCATGACTCAAGTATCTATCTTTCCATATCAAGATCGTAACTTTTGGACGTCGGGAACTCCTCCGCGCGCGGCCAAACTTCCGAAGCTTCGTTCTGCGCGCAGCGAGAACTAACACTTGGAGATAAAATGATCTTCTTGACTTGGAAACTTGCATGGATCTTGATTTAGGGCTCTTTTACTCCTTTTTGCATCCTTTTTGATGGTTTCACCTACAAAGACTTCAAATCCCACAAATACAAGAAAACTACCTCTAAAGGCAAAGAATCTTGCAAAAACCGTTTGAAAACATAGGTAATTATATAGTAAAATCATGTAAAATATGGTGATATCAACTCCCCCAGACTTAGCCTTTTGCTTGTCCCCAAGCAAACTAAGCAGGAAAAGAGGTTTGAAAACGTGAGAACTCTCAAATCTTTTGGAAATCCAAATTGACTTATGCTTTAGTAATCCACATGAAACAGCATTGGCAAGTTTTGAATTAAGAACAAAGTACATACCATGAGTTTTGCGATTTTCCCAAAGCGGTCCACCTCTCCTTGGACAATCCAATTCGCCACCCTTGACTCCTTTCATTTCTAAAGGTGTGGTCTCAACTAGGGAGTATCGATCAGCCGGCTTTTAGATTCTTACTCATCCCCTTGTTTGGCACTTGTCTTTTACTCCATGTTTCTCCTCTCTCTCTTCTCACTTCTTTGAGTTGATTCATCCCTTTTTTAGGGTAGCGAAGTATTTTTTTTATTCAACTCCTTCTCTTTATTATAGAGGTTTTGCTTGGATCTTCCACAGACGCGAGTATTGATGGTGTTTGCCACCGAATCCCCGGTTGCTTGGATTCATAGGCCTTCCATAGACGCGAGTATTGATGGTGTTTGCCACCGAATCCCCGGTTACTTGGACCTTACGCTTTTTCTTTAATTTGAAGGGGAGAGAGAGGGAAGCACGAACTCACTAAGACTTTTTCATTTGATGGAGAGGATGAGGAATCATGCCATTTGTATGCCAAGCCCCTAGCTGAGAAGATTAAGTTCATTAAGGGCGGAGTCAAAGATGGATCCTTCTCAAGTCTTTAGAGATGTAGGCGTTTTTGGTAGATCGATCAACTCATAGTGCACCTGTGGTAAGATGTATTGCCAAGAACTGCTCAATGGTCACTTAAACATTAGTACAACCATGGTTAGATCCAAGATAAGGTCATGATTCTCGACAAAAATTTTGACTCAATAAAAACGACTCGATAAAGGGAAAAATGCAAATGAAAACGCCAAAATGAACAAACATTGTTAGTAATCCCCCCAGACTTAACTTGCACCGTCCCGGTGAAATCAAATCGGATTAAGAGAGGCATAACATGAAGTTCAAATGAAAAATTGAAAAGAAAAAGGTTTAGGATGATGTTACCAAATGTCGACCAATTTATAATGAAGATCAGTTCCGGTTTGGGTCATTCTACACTTCTTTAGGCAATATTGGTCGGTGAGTTTTTAATTTCAGGCCTTGGTTTCCGCCGGTTTGTGTTTTGGCCGAGATTGGTATATTCGGTCGGCCAAAATGTGGTGCTGTGAACTACAGAACAAACCGTCAAAATTTCATGACCTATATTGAAATTTCATCGACCAACCTGGTATTTTATGCCTCTGGTGAAGTTTGGGAGCATTTGACGAGCGGGTTGAGACTTCCTTCACAAAATGGTCAAGTCGGCTCCGGGAAGGAGTTTCCTTGGCCATGAAATGAGATGTATGGAATGCAATCAGTGGTATATGATGAGGTGGTAAGATGCAAACACAAACACAGTCAACAATTCCCTTTAACCATGATAGTTGATGTAGTACAAAGGGTTATCAATCCAAAATGGGAAACTTGTCACTCTATGAGAATATGAAACAACCAAAAGTCAAGCAAGCAGTAGATTTGAAGTAACACTAACAACCTAAATAAAATGAAAAGCAGTGCAATAAAAGTAAACAAAGCAGTGAAGTACAGCTCGACCAAGAGCTCGAGTCGAGTCAGAGCAAAGTACCAGCTCGATCGAGTTTAGGGACGAGTTGAGACAAACAAAGCTAAAGGTGACGACTTTAACAAGATAAAGAGAGAATTAGGGTTCAAGACAGGGTTTTGCAATCAAAGGAATCTACACTTAATCAATCTAGCTCTTAAAACTCCTTGTATCAAGGCTTCTCTTGATATTGGGCTTCTCAATGCCTAGCCAACCCTTTCCCAAGGTGGAGGCTATCAACCAAGGAATGATCTCAGAAACAGGGGGTTAGCCAGTGAGAATCAAACCTTGGAGGCTATAGGATCATTGCCCAAACTAATCCATCCAACCCCTTAGACCTCTATTGTCTAGAGCAAGAGATATTGGAGCTCTTAGTGGATCTTTTCCAGCGAATGCCATCACTTTCGTGTGGGGAGTCGCCTAAGGACTTACAAGCCAGGGGTAGTGGTCATGTAGCCTTAAGATCTATCCAAAAGAGAGAGAATCTAGATTAAGACCATAAGCTAGAAGGATTAAGCATATGAAACCTCTAATCTATCCCATCTCAAACCCCAATGGGTAACTACTCACTACACATGAATGTAAACACAAGCAAATGCAATAAAAGAGACATCATAAGAAAGAGGAGATGAAATTAAACAACTTTTATTGAAATAAGCAAGTGCAAATACAAGAGAGATTATCCAGGATCTAGGATTCAAGAAGCAAGAGCTTCAAGAACACAAAGATGGGATTAGATCTCTAAAAAGTAAAAGACAATAAATTAAAAGAAACTAAAACAAAATAATCTAAAGCTTGGTGGTTTTTTCGTGGCTTAGCCTTTAAATACAAGAGGATTAGGTTTAGGGTCAAAGGAAAGTCAAGGGGGAAGCAACATTTTTCGGGTTTGACTTTGACTTCTCAGCTCGATCGAGTTGAAGCTTGGCCGGTCGAGTTGAGCTGGTCTGGTCAAGATGGCTTCTCCTTCTTCCTTTGCGTATCCAGTTGAGCTGCTTCCATGTGCCAAGTCCCTCCATGCTCCTTGTCCCATATGCTCCAGAATGCTCCAAAAGACCTATTTCAAAGGACCAAACATGCATATGTATGCAAATGCAACCTAAAACTAACATGAATGCATAAGAAGAGAAAAGGAACAAGATATGATGCAAATGGAAGCTAAAACTATGCAAAAGATGCATAAAAGATGTGCTAAAACTATGTAAAATGCAAGTACATCAACACCCCCAAACTTGAACTTTGCTTGCCCTCAAGCAAACAAATAGAACAAGAAAGAGATGAGGTTTGAAAATAGCTGATTCAACACTTAAAAACATGTCCTCAAAAGCGATTTGCTAAATGTCCAACTTAGAGATTCTAGAATGCAACAAGGTGAGAGATATTCATTAAGATTTAACCATGCTTATCAACATCAATCCCACTTCACAGTCACTCAAACAATGCATTCAAATCAGCAAATCCCTTTAACATTCATTAAGCAAAAACAGTGAACCAAAAACATGCAAGATCAATCAACTCATTTGGTTTCAAGGGTTTATGGGTTAAGAGACAAAGAGGGTCTCTTTTGTATGGTGGTTTAGTAACAGGGATCTCTCAAGAAAGTGGCTTTGCTTTGGCAGAAGGCTAAGTGTTAGAACCAAAGATGATGCAAGAACAGCAGCTCGAGCCGCCTAATCCTAACTCGATCGAGTTCAACACTTAGAGCTTTTTAGAACAAAATCCTAACTACCCTTTTTGGCATTTCGCCTTTGAAACTGAGGAGCTTTGCTCACTTTTCTTTTAAGAACTTCCTAGGGAGAGGCTTCTTGAGGTAACATCTAGCGGTTTGGGATTTTCTAAACACTTAGGGAACTTTTCTTTCCTTTTTGGACACTTGAGGCTTTGCCTTCTTTTCATTCTACTTAGAACCCTTTTTACTTTCCTTTTTTAACTTCCCAAACCTTTACTAGACCCTTTTTAACACTGCCAACTCCCTGGACTTAACTAAACTCTTTTTCCTTTGGGTTTTTCCCAACTTTTACCACTTTTCTGGTTTTTACACCCAACTCGATCGAGCTCGAGTTGGCACCCCCAAACTTAGCCTGAAAACAATCCCAAGAGAACTAGACAACTAGAACTACTGCCCCTGCCGGTTTAAACACAACACCTTATGCTAAGCAAAGCCAAGAAAGGTTCTCACATTCGCACAAGAGATAATATGGGGTTTGAAATGAAAAGGCTTAGGTTTAAGGTGTGGTAACTGTCTCAAAGATAGAGATCAGCTATCTGGACAAGCAAAAGGGATATGAAAATGGTAAAGAATGTCCAGATATGTATGTGGTAGCCATGAGTTGAAATCAAATGCAAGCATTGGTAATTAAAGATCAAGTTATGGTTCAAATAGATAGGGAAATGCATCAAATCACAGCAATGGTTGAATGAGATGTGCATGCAGCGATATGATCAAGATAAACATGGTTCTTGCTGCTCAATCAATCTCACCCTAATGCACAAAAGAATCTAAAAACAGGGCACTCAAGAAATCGCAAAAGATGGACAAGTTTTCAAAGTCAAATCAACAATGCAAGTGAAAAATGCAATCCTAAACAAGTCTAACAAATATGAATGCAAAAAGATGAAAATATTTTTGGATTTTTTGAAAATTTTATGATTTTTTTGGTTTTTCTATGCAAAAGATAAATGAAAAACTAAGAACAAAGAAAACAAGGTTAAATCATCTCTTGAACCCTCCCCCAAACTTAAATCACACAGTCCCTTGTGTGAGAAAAATTTAGTGAAAGATTCAAGAGGGCAAAACCAAGAAAAAACAAGAACAAATGCAAGAAAATATGAAATGGTATATACAAGGGTTGGTGTTTGGATACCTCAGTGTCCCCCAAAGAACTGGGAGACTAGGTCGTGGTCTGGAGATGGTAGACGGCCATCAGGAGCACTCCATGCAACTGGGGTTGCCTCTTGGCTCACTCGATCGAGCTTGCGGCTCTCTTCCTCCTCTTCTTCATCGTTGAAAGTGTGTGGCTCCCTTGGCCTTGGAGGAGCTTGCTTGCTCGACTGTTAGGGGTTCCATCTACTCTGGGAGAAGTCCTGGTACATGGTTGATCGTACTCAATCCCGGATCCTCAACTGGGGCTCCTCCAGGTCAACTCGACCCTCAGCTCGATCGAGTTGAGTTTCCTCTGTTTGGACTCGATCGAGTCCGGTGGTCGAGCTGGAGCGTCTGGCCTTGGAAGTCTTCCTCCTTCTCTGCGTGTTGTCTTCTCCTTCCCTTGGCTCGAAAGAAGAGGCTCTGTGAGGCTCTTGGGCAGGGAGCCTCCTTGGTGGTGAGGAGTGACTACTCCTAGGGAATGTGGGGGCCTTGGACTTCTTCTTCTTGCTTGAAGAACCAGAAACCTTCTTCTCCAAACTCTTGATCTTGCTCACCATCTTGTCCATGGACTTTTGCATCTTCTCAATGGCTTTCCCTTGCCATTTGTTGAACTTTTGGAGAAGTCCAATCCTCTTGTGGCAGCCACAACAGAGGGGTTCATCCTTGGAGCCTCATACTCCTCAAAGTAATAGCACTCAGGCTCACCCAAATCCGCACTCTCCTGGCCATCTTCAGCTCGACTCAGCTCGATCCTCAGCTCGATCAGCTCGATCGAGCTCAGGCTCCTCTTCTCGCAAATCATCCTCATGCCCAACTAATGTGTACACAGGGGGTCTGAAGTCAATGTTCTCACCCCTACTACTGTGGTGAGCTCTGGGTTAGGCAGGAGAAGCTTGGAGAGTCCAGCCAATGGGTGGGTGAACTTGAATTGGAATCTCCCATCCAACTCCTTGTGCTCAATGAGAAGGTTGGTCTTGCAAAACTTGATGTCCATCCAACCTGGTGGAGTAGACCTTCTCTTGTCCACTTGACTCCTGCTGCACAAAGATAGGTGTGATCACCCCTCCAACACTTAAGCTTTCTTCCCTTTGGTCTAGTGTTGTAAGCTGTGACTTGTAGGTTGGAGCTGCTCAAGGAGAGGCATGAGTTCCCTGCGTGTGCTATCTCCCCTGATCTTCTTCCATCCCTTGTGCGTGAGATGATAGGCTTGATTCCCATGTCAAGGAGCTTCACCCCTCGTCATTGATTGTCCCGTGCTTTCCTTGCAAAGAAGGTGTTGGCAAGAGCCTTGTGCACATATCTAAGCACTGGGCTCTGATCTGGCAGCCTTGGACCTTGAGGAAGAGTACCCCTCAGCGATTGTAGCCCAACCCTTTGGAGTTCTTCTTCCTTGATGTTCCATAGGTTACCTTCTCCATAGTGAACCCAAACAAGATCTCCAAGCTGCCTAAAGGTCACCATCTTCTTCTCTCCCTTAGCTAAGAACGTGATCCCCCAGCCTTGGTCCAACTCAGCTCGATCGAGCTCTCAAACTCGTGATGCCTCATTGAAGCCAAGAACTCACAAGTGAGCTCCTTGTAGACTTCCATGCGGTGAGAGAAGAACTTCCAATTGCATGTTCTTGAGACCAACTCCACATCCTCAAAGATTCCAAGGGCCTTCATTGTGTCATCATGTGGGTACTTGGTCTCACAAAGTCCATGGAGAAGAGAGCATTGTAGTGCTCTTGGTACATGGGGAGCTTCATCCTCCTCTTGCTCTGCCTCAGCCTCTTCCATTGGCTCATCTTGGTTCCCCTCTTGATCATCTTCATCAACCAATTGGTTCACCTCTTCTCCTTCCTCTTCACTCTCAGTCTCATCACTTCCTTCTTCATTTGGAGAACCATTTCCCTCCTCTTGAACAAGGTTCACTCCTATCTCAAACTCCCCTTGCTCACTCTCACTACTAATGGGTCATTCCTCTTCTTGGTTCTCCTTTCTTCCCTCAATCTCTCACTCTCAGACTGTTCCTCCTCAGAGTATACATATCCTCTGCATCAGACTTCTTCCATCCTCTGATCCATCCTCTTCAAATCGGCTTGCATCTTAAGCCTTGTCTCTCTTGCATTGCTTGATTCACCCTCAACCATTCTCCTTTGTGAAGC